AGCACGATATTGCAAATATTAAGCCCGGCAAATTTATACTTAAATACATACACATTTATATATCTATACGTACATGCGAACGACTAGCTCGCAAACAGAAAATTCTATCCCTCACCCCGAAAACTTACTTGTCGATGATACCTCCGCGGCGGCGGCAGCGGCAACGGGAGCTTCGTTGCTTTGATTTTCCATCGTTTTTCGTTTATAAGTTGTGTACTTAAACTGTTCTTTCTGCCTTTTTCTTTTTTTTAACAATTTATTTTTCTTTCACAAGTTTACACAAGTTACAGAGCAACGTCTACCTTCTCCGGCTGCTTCCAACAAACCACGTTTCTCACCCGATGAAATTTTACTATATCGATATTGCAATGTATCGACAATGTCTCTTCTTCACCATGCGTGAACGATTGCACTGTTTTGCAGTATATTTTTACAATTATTATTATTTTTTTTTTACAAAAACGCACAATCAGAAATTAATAAAAAAGAGAACAAAAAAAAGTCAAAATTATAACCAGAACAATAAATCACTAACACGTATTGCAATGTTATGAAAAGCTAGTGCAAATCCAAATCATCTTATGTTGACAAAAAAGTCAATGATGAAATGTTTGATGTTATTTAGAGTTATGTGGATCAACTTCAGTTCATAAAGTAAACATATATTTTTAGTTGAATCATACTACCAATGAGATAAGAAATTTTCTGTTTAAAACGAAAATACATGTTTGTATTAACGGGGTGTCAATATATGGGTATGTAGGAAAAATTTGAATAAAAATACTGTGAGCAAAAATACAGGATGGCGGTAAAATGTCGACGAACGTACGATACCGATAGATTTATGTACCAAATACCCGACTTATTGGCAGTATTTTTCAATGCTGGTATTTTAGTACAAAAAAACAAACAAAACAGACGAAACCGCGAGTAATGAACAGCGTACCGCGTACATTATGTCACAGCTGTTTTTTTACACAACGTGGAGCGGTCAGTTGCTCAAATTTATTTTTTAAATTTCTTCAATTAAAAATCAGCCGGTGGTCGCTCGATGCACAACTCGAGAAACTATGCAATTTTCACTGGTAGACGACTGCTCTGCGCAGCACGCTCCAGACTCGCCAATGGCTCTGGCATTGAGGAACGTTCATTTCAGCGAGCTGCAATGCAGCTATCGCGTAATAGAAAACATGAGACTAATGTCTCGGCGCTATTTAAGCCGGTTCAAGTGCAGGCCAATGCTGATGATGATGATGTCGGCTCCGAGCTGGTGGGTAAACTAGAAAAGTCCGAATTGTTGAAGATTTTAAATAAATTTGCACAACGCCGCGAAATCAAAGCACTTTGCAGCGAAAATGGACTGGATTGTAAGTAGTAAAAGATGTCCTTCAAATACTGATCTTTGATCCTAATGCTCAGCCTTCCAGCTTATCTACAGCAGCAGGCCTTCGGCTCATTTCGTCGCTATTGCATCGAGGCTGAAAATCTGCCAGTTGACGTCCATATCACTTTCAGCGATATAATGCAAGGTGCCGGCCATATTGATGACATTTTCCCCTATTTTTTGCGCCATGCCAAGACCATGTTTCCCCATCTTGACTGCATGGATGATTTGAAGAAGATATCGGACTTGCGGCAACCGGCCAATTGGTACCCAAATGCTCGAGCCATAACGCGCAAGATTGTGTTCCATGCCGGACCCACAAACTCTGGAAAAACGTATCATGCGATGGAAAGATATTTAAGTGCCAAGTCAGGTGTCTATTGTGGACCACTTAAGCTGCTGGCCACCGAGGTGTACAACAAGGCAAATGAACGTGGAACACCATGTGATCTTGTTACTGGCGAGGAACGCAAGTTTGGCATTAGCGAGACCTCGCCAGCAAACCATGTGGCTTGCACCGTGGAAATGACCTCAGTCAATACGCCTTGTAAGTGCAAATGATCTGTGCCTTATAACTTTCTCACTCCTTGCATATCACCAGATGAGGTGGCTGTCATTGATGAAATACAACAGATACGCGATCAGCAGCGTGGATGGGCTTGGACACGCGCCTTTCTGGGTCTGATTGCCGATGAGGTGCACGTCTGCGGTGAAGCGGGCGCTCTGGAGTTGCTTGAGAAAATATGTGAGACCACTGGCGAAACGGTCGAGGTGCGTCGGTACGATCGTCTCACTGAGCTAACGGTTGAAGATTCAGCTCTGGCTTCCTTAGACAATGTTATGCCTGGAGATTGTATTGTCTGTTTTAGCAAAAATGACATCTATACTGTTTCGCGAGAAATCGAAGCGCGGTAAGTGATCCGTTAATCTTAATCTAATGTATTTCGTTAATTGGTGCACTTCGTATCTTATAGTGGCAAGGAAGTCGCTGTTATCTATGGAGGTTTACCACCTGGTACAAAGTTAGCTCAAGCTGCCAAGTTTAATGATCCTTCGAACAGCTGTAAAGTAATGGTGGCCACCGATGCAATAGGCATGGGCTTAAATCTGTAAGATTATCATCGCTTAGATATTCAAAAGTATTTTATGACATCCATTTATTGCAGAAGCATTCGTCGCATTATTTTCTACTCGTTGGTTAAGCCCACAATGAATGAACGTGGCGAACGTGAGATCGATACGATTTCGGTGTCCTCTGCCCTTCAAATAGCCGGACGTGCTGGTCGCTACCGCACCCAATGGGAGCATGGCTATGTGACAACCTTTAAATCGGAAGATCTGCAAACTCTGCAACGTTTACTTAGCCAAACGCCAGAGCCTTTGAAACAGGCTGGCCTCCATCCCACCGCTGATCAAATAGAGCTGTACGCTTACCATTTACCAAACTCATCGCTGAGTAATCTGATGGATATATTTGTGAATCTCTGTACTGTTGATGATTCCCTTTACTTCATGTGCAATATAGAAGATTTTAAGTTCCTGGCAGAGATGATAAATCACGTACCGCTGCCACTACGCGCACGCTATGTTTTCTGCTGTGCGCCCATCAATCGCAAGATGCCTTTTGTGTGTTCCATGTTCCTGAAGATTGCACGGCAATATAGCCGCAATGAGCCTATTACGTTTGAATTCATTAAAAGAAATTGCGGCTGGCCATTCAAGCTGCCCAGAACTATTTTGGATCTAGTACATTTGGAATCCGTGTTCGATGTGATGGACTTATATTTATGGTTGAGGTGAGAGGCAGAAATTGATTTGTTTTATTAAGCTCTTTTAAAATTACTATTTTCCTGTAGCTATCGTTTTATGGATCTGTTTCCTGAGGCAGCTCATGTGCGGGAGGCCCAAAAAGAACTGGATGAGATTATTCAGCAGGGCGTTTTCCAAATAACTCGACTGTTGAAAAACACTGAGGCAGGCGTAGAGAGCGATAGCTCGGCTTCCCATATGCGACGCACAACTCACATAAAGGAGCCACGAATACCCAGTGCATCGCGTGGCCGTCTAACGGAAAGACTCCTTGCACAGGGTCTACTAACGCCTGGCATGCTCAGCGAGCTGCGTAAGGAGTGGGATGCACAGCAACTTGCACAGCCAAATGCAGTAGGCAGCTCTAAGGACTCGCAGGATGCTGCCACAGACAGCGATGACGATGATAATTATGCGGCAAATACAAAAAATACAAAAACTCGGCGAAAGCGCAAAAAGTAGTAGAAATAGTAGATGAATATATTTTTTGTTTTAGGTAACATTGGTCGACATTAGATCGACGTGTCTGTTGTTTATGTTATCAATTTATTTTGTAAGTCACAATTATGTAATATTAAAATTATTATTTTAATAATCAACAATGACAATTTAATTGCTTTAAATTGAAAAATAGAAATTTGTAATCTATTCCAGGAAAATCCAATCACTTCATTCATTATTTTTCTTGTTCATGTTCTTTCTTTCTTTTTTTTAATGGAGGGAGTTACTACAAAGAGTCTGAAGTACTTTACAAATAAACTTCAATTTATTTGCATGACTTTCCACTGATGTATCATAATAATCATAATAATAATAGATTCAAGACATGCACACATAGAAGCTTATATAATAAATATGTTTTTATAAAAATGACTTGACAAGTTTAAAGTGTGTTTGTTTATCCATTTCCCCAAACACTCGTGTCCAAAATTAAATTTATATTTATATATGTGTATATATACATATACATGTATATATGGATTAACTTTTATATCGCAAAGTTTAGTAACAACGAACACATATTCAATTTGAATTTGTGATTATAAAATATTGGACATCAAAAACATACAGATTGTTAAAAAGATACAAATATATATATGTATGTATATATATGTGTATGTAATAAAATATTTAAACTAGATTTAAGGTTTTAAGGTTTCATGTTCTTGTTTTTGTTTTTTGTTTTTTGTTTGCATATGAGCAATTGTTGTACATAGTTTAATACTTGCTGTGACAATTAAAAAATCAATTTAGTACAGACATTCTTTAAAGCTTTCCTTTTTCTTGCTATAGTTTAGATAGTTCCGTTCCGCTTCGCACAAACCCCCTAGCTATATATAAGTATATAGAATTTGTTAACAACATTAAATGTTGCTTTACATATACAATTATGTATGTTCCAAGCAACCCGCATATAAATACGATTAAATGTTGCTGGTTTCAAATTTCCAAATTTCTTATCAATATCAACTTCTCTCTTTTCTCTACCTCTATCTCTCTGACTCTGGCTCTGTCTCTGTTTCAACTTCTGTTCGGTTATATAATAGATTTTTGTTTGTGCGTATTTATTTAATTTGTATCCAAAGGTACGGGAATTTATTTATTCATATAAAAAACTGGAACAATGCGAATGAATTTTCTTGTTGCTTTTGTAATGTTTTATGCGTTGGCTACAATTGTTGTTATTTTTTTTTTTTTTGTGTTTTGTTTTGTTTTCTTATTAATTTGCAGATTGTTAACCAGAACAGTCTGTAGTTGGATAGGATTATGTTTTGATAGTTGTAAAAGTTCTGATTAATAATTCATCAATATATTCTTTTCGACACTTCCAGATGTATTGGGGCCCATTTCTTGGCCCTAATCGCATAGCAAAATGTTCTGGTTAAACTGTTCAACTGTTTAACAATGCTAAGTAAGGTATTTTATAATTTTTCCATTTTTTTGTTGTTGTTGTATTTTAGTATTTTCTATTTATAATAATGTAATAAAAAAGTGCTAGTCGTGTTAGACCGTCAAAACCTTTGCGGTTAAATATTTGCGTTTGAGTTGCAGAGAAATAGTAATTCCAAAAAATTCACATGCGCCTGACATGTCTCTCCCAATGTTTCTTTGTTTTTCTTTTCATATCGTATTCATTATCACAAACAATTATAAAGTTTAAATTTTTCATCTGTTCTCTTTCCTTTTTTTCTTGGTTTTTCGTTATAGTAACAAGTTATGCTTATGCAGTTGCGTACAAAAATTTTAATATTCTAATTAATTGGTTTTTTTTTTCTCACACTTTATAATAAAAATGTGTGCTTGCCAAATTTGATTTGTGTCCAAGTTTCCAAGTACAAATACTCTTTTGTTGCCCACCCGTGGGCTCATATCTGGTCTAGCCAGATCATTCAAAAATTACAATATGTAGTCCTTGGGGGAACACAAAGTTATCGATTAGCGATCAATATCATTTGGTTCTCCTCTTCTTTCCAAAAAAAAGCTCCAATCGAAAAGTTGAAGGTAACCTTCGAACCTTTCTACACAAAATCCAGCTCCAGGCCGGGCTCAATGTCGACTGCAACCGCATTGTCTGCAGGGAATTGAGCCTCGTCTGAGTCCTTTCGCGCTTTATCCTTGGACCGGTCCTTGAACGCAGCAAAGCTCAATTTCTTGAGCGCTCTGGTGCTGCGTCCTGTGGACTGGCCCAACTGCTCGAATCAGGAATCCACCAGCACATGCCAACGCGCCAATATCTCACCTTTTGGCATTTCACAAACATCGGCCCAATGGGCACATTCTTCCGGTCCGGATGAGTTTAGTCCGAGGCTAAACCAACCGACCATCTCATTTTTCTTCATATGCCTCTTGGCATACACCGAGATCATCAGCGTCACATCGTTCAGCTGAAACAACGCCACTTGGAACGCAAATGTCTCCTTGAATAGCGGATTGGGTCCTCGTCTTATGGACGTTTTGGCTCTCGAGATCTCCTGGCCAATGCTGCTGACCATGCACAGCTTCACATATGTATCCGGCGCCTTGTTCAGCGTCAGACTGCGGAACTGACTGCCCTTGATGATCTCGACACTGAGGCGGCCCGTCACTCCGTTGTAGCTCAGACCCAACAGCAGCTCCGAGACACCGCCGTGTTGCATGGAGGATGTGGAGCCAGCACTGTCCGATCGGGCCAGACTCAGCAGATCACTGGTCGAGCCCAACAGCGACGTTGTCACTCGTGGCTCCAGCGGCAGCCACAGATTTGTCTCCAGCTCCAAGTCGACGGTGGCAAAGCTCACATAGGCCTCGCCAATGAGCCGCTCCTTGCGCAGCCGTTCACATCCATAGAGACGCACACGCAGACCCATGTTGTTGACGTCCTCTGGATTGACACGGTGTAGCAAAAAGCTCTCCATATACTGCGGATTCTCGCCACTGCGTATCTTGGTCTTGTGCTTCTGCTTCTTATTCGGCAGCATCAGCATGCGTACCTAAAGGGGGAATTGAAGAGTTATGACATTTCTCTATATTGCTCTCTCGATGCTCACCTGTGTGTGCGTCTGCTGGCCATTGGGCAAAGGTGGCAGACTTCTCGCCTGCATCACATGCACCGTCATCTTCCTCATTGGCGCATCGTACAGCAGCGACATCTCCAGCTCAATAGGTCCACGCGGAGCTGTGAGCTTTGCATCGCTGACCAGCATATCGTCCGACTTGATCGAACGCAAGTCGCTGGTATCAAAAAGAGGTTCCTGGTTTTAAGAAATGAATAGAATGAATAACTAAGTATGTAGGTAGAGTTGTAAATGAAATTATCTACATATGTATATAGTGTCATCCGAAAAATATTTATCAATTAAACATTTCGCTATTTTTTTCCAGTGAGACCTTATATTCGACTATGTAGTAGTTCGTATTAGTTAAAAAAAATATGGATTACATTTATATACATATTTACATATAAAGTATATAATTTTATACCCACTCTAAAACACGAGGGCCAACTGAAAAATTTTCCTATTCAATTAAAACTTTCTTTCCCTTCATCCCACAAACAAATCAACAAACACGCATATCATGCTAAGCAACTAGTACACGCATTAATAATTAGCAATTCACACATCCCCCAATGCAGAGTATTTCCCCCTGATATCCTCGCACAATGTCACAACTAACTCAAAGCATTAATATTATTTTTCAAAAATTATGTAACACATTCTTTTTAAAATAGATTCTCGCTAAGACTCGAAATGATAATTTATGAAAATTTGTGATATGATTCAATACTTACATCATCGTTGTTGTTGTTGCTGTTGCTGGTCGTAGCTGTGCTATTGATGTTGTTGTTTTGATTGTAATTATGATTTGTTGTACTGCTATTGTTGTTGTTGTTGTTGTTGTTTAAACTAGTAGTAATTGGCACCACAATCACACTGTCCCTATCCTTCTCGACCTTTTGTGGCACGTCGACTTTATGTTGATATTTTTGTGTCTTGGCATAGGAGTGTCTCAGCGCTGACACAGCCGGCACAGCTGAAAAGGTAACAAGCATATACATTATATACCCAATATCCATGTCTATTAGAGTCACTTCTTTTACCTCTGCTGTCAGCTGTCAATATGCCCGTTTGACTGTCGACAGATGCCTCGATGGAATCATTGGAGCTGCACTCGCTATGAGATGACGGTATGCCGACCTTGCCCCGTTCAGCAATGGCCAAAGGGTCACGTGTCACTGTCACCCTCTGCAGGTCAGCCTGATGATAATTGAAATTGTGGCCAGTCAACGGGTTCCGCTGATCGATGCCCATGCCATAGCCTACAAATTTGCCATTCGGCAATATGTTATTGTTCTGCTGATGCCAGCGCAGGCGTCGCAGCATATCCTCCTCCGAATCGGAACTGGTGTTCTCATAGCGACGTTTGCGTGCTAAGTGCGAATAATAATTTGATAATCAAATAAATATGCACAGTGAGTCAGCGAGTCTACTTACTAATCTTCTGCACACATTTGGCTGCCAAGTGTCGCTCGTCACAGCAGTTGATGCCATGGCGATGATGAAAGCAGCATCTGCGACTTATATATAAGAAGAGCAACAACAGTAGCACCAAGACACCAAAGAATGCACCCAATAATGTTGTGACCTCAACAGTACCTGCAACAGATTTTTATTTATTTATATGTAATTATTAAAACTGAATTAAGCCAAGCTGGAACATTGTAAGGACTCGCAGAGATCTATCTGTGGCTTCTTAATCGACTAGAAACATAAGTGAATAAACTATCTGTTAGACTGAAAGTTCGTATGCAATCTAATATAGGAAATATATATAATTAATTATATAGAAAATATTCATTACCAATAACATGAAATATAATATAATCCCATTCTGCTTATATGAAACTTTATCTAATAGGTATTAAATGAAAACAGGACAAAGGGCAGCCCTCCCATTGACCATAAAATAGAGTCAACGGGAAACCCCATATTTGACTCAAACAAATATGTACCTTCAAGTCTTTAGTTTCAACTTTGTTGTCTAGCGGCCAACCATTAATCAAATGGAAGCATTAATCTTGTTAAATGTTTTATGAAAGCTTTTGTAGCCAAGTTCAACGAACACATATTCGAAATTTTCCACAACTAATCGTAAGGTAACAAACTGTTCGTCCTATCCCACCATGCCCCACTCAGTTGGTCATTCAGTAAACAAATGAAAATTGACATTGACAAAACGTACCCAATGTAGCAGTGCTATCCACACCAGATGTAACAATCATGTTGGTTGTTCATGCGTAGGATTGTGTTTTGGTTTGTTTTAATAGATTTTAAATATTGCTTTAGACGGAAATTATATGCTTATGTTTCAATTGCGCTTTGATTACTATTGAACTAAATTACAAAAGCTCCACATATGACAGCACGCAGTGAAGCACGGTAAAAATTCAATCGATTTTTCACAGGACAATGAATATTTTGTTGACCGAGAATCCGAATTGCGATGGAGTTGAACAAATTATTTTCTAACAATATATACTAAGAATATTACTACACTTTTCAAAGCCTTTCTTTTTTAATACAATCTATTTACACAGAAAAAAATTAAATATTTTTGAAAAATTGAAATCAACTTTTTTTGTCATTAAATTTTTGCATTTAAGATATTCAACATTTTATTGCACGTGCGGCACTGCCTGTAGCTAGTTTATTAATAATTATGCACTGGCTGTTCGAGCACTTGAAATATTTTTTACTTGAAGAGCAGCAAATAAAAGTGAAAGGATTTGAAAGCTTTCCCCCACATCCTGTGTGTGTACAAGTAACAGTGAAAGCTGCAGCTTGACAAATGTCATGCCAAAACAACTGTTGCTTTGTTACGAATCAGATACGATTATGTAAATGAACAACTAATGTATGCATTTGATTTTTAAAGTACATTTTTAAATATTATAAAATAACAAAATATATAATTTGTTTCCTTAATTGATATTTCATAAATTTGAATTTGAGCCTAGTTTTTTGTATATATCGATGTCAATACAGCAGGTGCTATCGATAGATGGTGACCATCTCTAACTCGATAGGATAACGTGTGTGTTACATTTCGTGTGTGTCCAACTAAAACGCGATTTAAACCATGCAAAAATGGCAAAGAATAAATCAACGGTGTATTTAGGCTACGAAGATGAGGAAATTACAGCCAAGCAAGCTGCCTTCCTCAATAGCTGTACAAATAAAATAGGTGGCACTCCAGTAAGTACATGTGACGGTCGATTTTTCAACTCCTGTGACAGGACTCATCCCAAGTATTTTAATGACAGTCAATTTTCTATGTAATTAGCGATGTATCTGTGTTATGACACACAAAACATACATACATCTATCTAATACCATAGGACACTTGACTTCATTAGTCGAATGGGAAAAGTTGGCGTGAGGCAAGTCCTTGTGCGCTGTAACAGCTATGTAAAAATCTATATCCACACATACTTTCAAACACAAAATCAATCAAGTGCTTAGAGACAGTATATAATTAAAATTGATTTTTTTCCAATAGAATTGGCCGAGACATGAAGTGACCGTGCCCGTGTGTCCGCTTTGCGGCATGGTGCGTCCTTTGATCGTCCAAATGTATGCGCCTCTGGATCGCTCGCAGTTTCATCGCAATCTGTATGTGTTTGCCTGTGTGAGCCCGGCCTGCTCGCAGAATCAGAAGAGTTGGGTGTGCGTGCGCACCCAGCATCTGGATAATCAGTTTGACGTCATAACTGAGCAATCGCCCAAGTTGGTCAACAAGCAAAATAAGAAGAAAAACAAGTCCAGTGCCTTGCCCAAGGTGAATTGGTGTAGCGGCGCAGATGACTGGGGTTGGGGCGAGCCAGAAATCGTGGATGAGGCCATGGATCAGACGGCCGATGACGAGCAGAACGAACGAAATGGCAATGTGAGGCCAATTGGTTTGCAATATGAGAAGCCCGACGAGGACTTCGAGATCTCAGGAACAGTGGCGCACGACGTCGCAACGAAGGTGGGCGATGATGACGATGACGATGAAAGTACCTCTGCTGAGAACGATTTGGTCTGTGGCTTTGGGCAAATCGATATGAATTCCCCAGAGAAAGCTGGTGAGGATCCGAATGCCAATTGCGCGGCTGCAGTATTGCCAACGGCAAGTGCCGATGGAGCTGGGGCAGGCGGCGGTGCTACGGCCATGATATGCGCTGAAATCGAGGGTCCAGAGACGGATGTTGTGCTCGTCGATACACCCAAGAAACCGGAGCGGGATCTGATTGCACTGCTAAAGCACACCTCGTTACCGGCTACGCTGGGCCCGTTGTCCCAGATCAAGGATCTAACCCTAAAGTCAATTTACATTGCTGTGGATGTTGAGACAAACGCAAAGCAAGAGGAGTACGATAACTATGGTGGCTCGCTTGCAATGGATCACATTCGCGACTTATATCAAGAGTACAAGGTGCAGGATGAGAATCCAGCGCGTTCGCCAGTCGCCGGCGGCAGCGAGGCGTGTGATGAGCAGGAGGCGTACGAGAAGGCGCTGCCCGCCCATGGGGATTTGGTGTTCCACAATTTTATCACAACCATACAGAAAAATCCAGGACAGTTGTTGAGGTATTTATGAAATATTTGAATTGAAATTTTCCTTTTATTTAATCAAATCTCTTGCAGATATTCGCGTGATGCCCATCCACTGCTGGCGGCACCGTTGAACGAGCCGCTGCCAAAGTGTCAAAACTGCAAAGGCGAAACCATATGCGAGGTGCAGTTGCTGCCAACGCTGATCCCAAAGCTGCGATTCCAGCAGAACTCCTGCAACGCACCAATCGAGTATGGCAATGTGTTAGTTTTCACTTGTTTGAAGAGCTGCTGGGATACGCCAGATCAGATGCGTTACGAGCACGTCGTGGTTCAGTCCGAAACTTAGATCACCAACTCCAGTTGAGGAACGATCAATTTATTTCAATTGCTAATTGCATTAGCTTAGAGAATGAAAAGCTAAGCTTTTTCACTTATCCTAGGATGATTTTATGCTCTAGTTGTTAAGAACGTTGTACGCTTTTAGAGAGCAAATGCCGAATTATCGCATAGTTGCTAACGACTCGTTATTTCCACTCACACTAAAAACTTTTAATTAGAGAAACGCAATGTCATTTGTTTTATTTACACAAAATCAAAGTTATGAAAGCGGCGCATCGGCATCCAGATGATAGCTCTTCACGGCGGAGAACCATAACGGTGGATACTTGGCGGCTGTTAAATCGAATTCCGAGCTTTGCTCGACCTTATTCCGTTGCTGCACCAAGGTATAGTTGGACCAGACCAGTTGGGCAAACCGTCGCTTGGGCGAGTTCATGATGCGTAGCTCAATTACATATTGTGTATTGGAGCTGTCGTCGTCCCCGGGCATCACACTACCACGACGATGCCGTTGAGTCGTGGTCCTGGCGAGCTGTTGCGTCTTCTGCAGTATCAGCGTCACGGTGTTGCCAAAAAGTCGATAGCGGCCGCGCAGCACATCGGGGCGTGCATGATAGAGCTGCTTTAGCTTGTTTACACCCTGAGCTGGCTCATCCGCACTTGTCATCATGAGCACCTTTCCATCGGGCAGAAAACGGATATAGCGATAGTATTCGACTAGCTGCAGCGGCCTGTAGAACTGGTCCTGAAAGCTGTTCTCGCCCATGCGCAAGTAGGTGGTTTTGCTGATGTAGCAGCCATTGAATAGGACACGCTCCCGCCTTATAAACATATCCCGCCAGGACTCGTAGCATTCTCCACCGTCCTTGGTATCCAATGTGCCCACATTGTGGCCCCACACTCTGCCGGATAGAAGAAAATGACGTCAGCTCTTGCCACAAATATATAAAATTTCGTTACTCACTTGACGCAGGCTAAACGCCAGAGCTCCTCGTCTCGCCCATACACATAGAAACCTTTGCATACAGCCGAAAACTGCTCCAAGGAACGCATATCCAGCTGTGAGGACACCACCCAACGTAGAATATTCATTATAATCTCAGGCGGCAGATCGGAAATATGCATTCTATTGCCTGTTGTTAGAACACTTGAATCGCGACTGTTCAAGACGATTTTGCCTCCGTAGATTTCTTCACAGCAAAGGTCACGTAGGAACTTTTCGTACAACCCATCAATCGGCTCCACATCTTTAGCCTCTGCATCGGTCAAATCTAGTTGCTTAGCAAAATCCCCGGGTAGGTTATGATATTTTTTGTTGGCATCGACCATCAATTTTTGCTGTTCGTAAAACTTAAACTCAATATCAGGTACCATTTGGGTGGCTTTGCGGTAGTAGGCTAGAGCATCGTACACTTTGCCTCGCTGTTCCAACTCCACGGCTGTGCGATAGAGCGTCTCAGCTCTGGCTTGTGCCTCAATGTCACGAATGCCGGGTGGCTGTTCGTTAGCCTGCGAGGATTCGGTTTGTGCATGACCATGAAGCTCGCGTTGCCAGTTCACACGGAATTCATCGAGCTCACGGCTTTGGTAACCGGAAGAATCCTCCGGCTTGGACATTTCCGACATTGAGTTGTCTGTGGTGAAATGCGTTTATTATTCATTGAGTAATACCTTATCTAATGAAAATTCTAACCTGTAATTACTTTTTTTGTCTAGTAAAGTGTTCGCTCTAGCTCTATATCCAGTTCCATGTAAAAATCAAAAGCGGTAGACACTATTATGAACGGTCGTGCGTATTGTTGATAACGGCCGCACGCTTGTTTACCCATGGATTTTAAAGTGGCTTTCCGCTGCATGGACAATTTATCAGGCAGTCGAATTGATTGGCACAGAAGCCCCACTTGGTGAATATTTTTAGTAAATATTTTGCTGCGCAATGTTTTTCTTATAAAACTATCGATAGGTCTTCTACGATAGGTACTTCAACGGCGATAGCGACATGTGGTGCATATGTTATTCGGAATGTACACTTGATCGTACAATATGGTACAATTTATAAAATTTAGTCTTAAGAGATATTTAAATTAATATAATGAAAGGGAAATTTAAAAATTTTGTATCAACACATATATATATATGTATAAAAAAAGTCTACTCTACTGTTTATAGTTTCATATACCAAATCATGTATTCTGTGGTACAAATTTTTAATTGCTTTTGAGCACTGGAATATCGAGCTATCGATATACTGTGCGCCAGTTTGTGCTCATGTGGCCGGTCAGTTTGTTTATATTCGTATGGTTCGTTTTTAATGAAAGCTGATTGAGTTATTTGAACTGAATTAATATGTCTGCCGACTATGCGCACCTGTGCTCATCTCTACTAGAGCAATGCTTTGGAAAAGTGGTGCAGGCCGTGGCGGATTGTCTCTTCTCAGCCACCACGCGCACATTGTCGCAAATTGTGAGCAGCACCAATTTCACTCGAAAGGAAGTGGTGCTCGCTCTGGCGGTACTAATCAAATTTCGTCTGGTCAACTTTGAGCCATCCAAGAACAATCCTTTTTTGGCCGAGTATGCGCTGAGGCGGGAAGATGTGATATGCTTGCTTCGATACTCCCGGTCAGTTAGCTATATGCATGATTCTAGATAAAGTATATCTAATTACTCAATGTTAATCTTTTAGCTACATACATCTAGTACAAACCAAGTACGGAAATGTTGGTGCTTCAATAGCGGAGGAACTGCTAAATGCGGGCTCAGAAACGGCCACTGCCTTGCTGCTCAAATGCTTGGCTGATGGTGAAAACAAGGCAGAGAGTGCCGAAACGTATAGGGATACGTTTCTGAAAATGATATCCGATCATTACATCATTAAAATACCCGATCTAGTGCCGGGCGATGAGCAGGATGAGGCGGTGCCCAAGTTTCAGAGAAATGAATGTGATTACTTTATGCTGCCCACCATAGATCTAAAGATATTGGCGCAGATACAAAAAGGCGAGGCGACTCTGTCCAAGGCTTTGGATGCAGCATTCGTGTGGAGCCTTAACTATGATCGATTCCATCAAGAGTTTCGGGATGATATCATGAAACTGGCCATAGAGCGGAAATTGGGTGAAAATGCAGCCGAATGCTTTAGTTTTATATTGAACCTCGTATATAATACCACCGATCCATGGCAAAGAGTAAGTTTTTAGTGCATCCAAGTACTCCTAATAAGAATCCATTATAATTTGCAGAAAGCCTCAAATTTAATCACATTTGTGGAGATAAAACAAGAAATTGAGCGTAAATCAAACAATCTGGAGTTGATTAAGTATTTGGATCAATATATTTGTTTAATAGGTAAAGAAATATTAAATATTTTTGATTATATCACTAAACCTAAATTTCTTTCAGTGGATGATTCACTTGGTTTCCTGCGCAAAGTGGGAGACATGGGCGGCGGTCAGTATCAAGTGGACATGGAGAAGGCATTTGAGTCGCTGGCCTTCGCCTGTGTGGAGGCTGTCATAACCGAACGCTTTGGGTCGAAGGCGGCGCGTATATTTCGTGTAATACGCTTCAAGAAATTCATAGAACAGGAGGATCTGCAAAAGGAGGCTATGATACCCGAAAAGGAGGCCAAGTCGCTTGCCTACAATCTATTCCAGGAGCAATTCATACACGTTAAAGTTATCAAGAAGCCTGGCGGAGGTGGCAGTGGTCCGGCTAAGGCTTTCTATCTATTCCACATTAAGGAGAAAGATGTAGGCAAATCCTAAACATTAAAATGATCAATATATTATCTCTGTTCATTGTAGACTGTGCGTATGCTGCTGGATAATTGCTTCAAGTCCTTGTACAATACAATAAGACGTTCGAACTATGAGAAGAATGAGCACAAAGGCTTGATCGAGAAATCGCAAAGACTGGACAGCATTGTGGAGGCGATGAAGGAGCGTGGCGAATCAGACGAATACATTGCAGAGGTATAAACGAGACTATTACTTTCGAAACATATTTATTTACTGGCACTTTACTGTAGATTGTGGAAACTTTTACACCGCCCGAATGTGAAATTCTAAACAAAGTCAAAAATCGCATAAAGACCTTGTCCAAGGCCGAACTGACCGTGGACGATACGATCTTCTTATTGCAGATGTTTCAACACCACTGTACGACTTTACCAACTGGCATTCAACAGTTTAAATAAAAAAACCAAAAAATTTTAAAATTTTAATTTTTGTATTTTCAATTCTTGTCTCGAATTTGAGCAACAGTTCTGAACTAATTTAGCTTAGACATCAACCTTAACACATATCGTATTGGGCTAACAAAATGTATACCTATTTTGGTCCATTCGATAAAAATGTAGATGGCACAAATGTCTACACTGCATATCGTAAGTCCTTCTGTACTAGCTTAGCATAGATTTCAACCTTTGCGCATATTTAGTACTGGGTAATTTCAAACCTGTATTTATGTTCCTTACGATACTTATTTGATTTTGTTTCCTTTGTGCATAACTTTTAGCTTTTGTTTAAGTACATATCATCATAATTTAAATCTATCGACCTGGCAGCGCTCACTAAATTTAAATTTAAATTTGAAAAATACATATATCAAAGAAATATATCGTAATTAAAAAACTGATTTACATATGTTGTATGGGTATTTATATGTTCTTGTTATTATTAGAATTAAAAAAAATTTTTTTTTAAATACTTATCATACAAAACATACAAGTTCAGCTATGTAGATATATTGTTGTTTTTAATAAATATAATTTTATATATATATTCTTTATTATATATATTTTGTAATTAACCCTCAATAAAGAATAAAATTTTTTTGTTAATATCTGAAAATCAACAAGCTTACAGTTTTTAAACTACAAATTTTAGATCGTGAACCTATTGAAAACTTATCTCTCCTGTTTCTAAAACTAACCCAACTCTCTTTTCAGCGACCTTTTGATTCAGTATATATTTACATATGAGCTCTGACCTGAGCCCAGTTTTGACATGGGCCACATGCATATGCTGCCTGCGGCCCGCCTGCTCAGCACAAATTGCCGACTGGAAGCCAAGAATAGCAATAAAAGCGTAAATTAATTAACAATATCGTATTTCCATATGCTTCACAGCAACCAAACGACCAAACAGGGGAGGAGGCTAGGAGGCTAGGAGGCGAGCAAGTCAGGCAATGCCAAAACAGCCAGCCACACGGCTTGGCACACGCCCACTGAAGTCCACGCCCATTCGCACACCCCACGTTTATTTGCATAAGTAGCTCAGCTTTGGCTGGCGCAGGCAAAAAGTCGCCCGAGCAGCCAGGCGAGTGAGTTGTAGCCGGGCTAACACACACACACACATTTGTTTTTATTTTGCTTCTGTCTTGTTTTGTCCTTACATATGTGTGCGGATGAAAAGAAATTTGTTGGGCCGAAGGAATGCCACTGGTTGAATGATGTGCTTCATAATAAAATCAGCTAACCAGATCCTTAAGTAAACCGAGCAAAGCCTATCGCTTGCCTGCTCGGTCCGCTCGGTCCGCTCGGTGTGCTCGATGTGCTCGGTCTGCCGTAGCAGAATTATTTGCTTTCAGACAGTTTTATCTGGCGGGCACAAGTCAAAGCATATGTCATATTTAACGCACTCTGACTGGCATATGTACATCCCGGTGAAGCTAGGACCCGGGCAGACAGGTGGGCACAGATTGATGCTCGATTCCGAGAAGCATTATTAACAAAGTTTCCAGCCAGACATTGGTAGCAAGCCACTGTGGTTGCGTTTTATGTTAATCACGGCGCACGTCCAATGGTTTGGGCGAAATTCAGCATTTGACAAATTGCCCACAAAGAACGAGAGCTTGAGCAGCATAGTCTCTCTCTCTATATGTGTGAGTGTGTGTGTGTGTGATTTATGTGAATGTGAGCGCATGACTTTGGGGTTTGATGTTAACCTTCGGCGATAAAGGCAGAGGTAATTAGACGATGCCATTGCAGTGCGCTGCTTTTCCTTTCTCTAGAAGCCAGATATGTGATTTTTAGCACGTACAAACCGTGTTGCAACCTAATTAAAATTTAACAAATAAAAGAAGCTGAAGAAGAACAAATTAAATGAAAAAAAAAACTTAAAATGGAGTCCAAGTCCTTGACACGAAATGCCAAGCCCGGCTCGCTAGCAGCTACTCATCTAATGCGTCACACAAAGTCAAATTCGTGGCAGCCCAAAGCCAAATGCCACTCAAACCATTCAGCCACGAACGCAAGTGCGGCCGAGGGTGAGGCAGCGCGGCAGCGCGGCAGAGGCGAGGGTGGGAGCATGAGTGAGCGATGTATAGGGGGCAACCAGACGAATGCAACATACAGCATACAGCATACATTCTATGGGGTAGCTCCTATGCCATGCCCGTGCCCATACCCATGCCCATGCCCATGCCCATGCCACGCGATGCGATGCCATGCCATGGCTAGCATCTCCGTTGTTGTTCTTATGTGCGGGCTGCATTAATAGGGCTCTTTCATCGCGACGAACGCCTGCATATGCAGCGCGCACACAGTTTCCATTCAGTAGGTGTTTTGTCGGTGTAAAGTGCCCACTTTTTCCCTCAACTAAAAGACGTTAATTGCATTTGGGCTGGACGTCAAAGTCAGCTGGCAGCGGGCAGCGGGCAACGGGCAGCGGGTAGCTGGGAGGTTGCCCTGTGACAGAGCAAAGTACGTCTCGTATTCTGTGGCACTATTGGCTATGGTTTTATTGCAAAATAACTGGCATACAATAGCCGGACCTAAAGAGAAATTATTACAAATATTTTCCATTGGACGTCCGTGAAGCGAGAATGTCAATCGAAAGTTTCATTTGGCAATTTCAATTTGCATTTCAACTCTAGTTTACGGCCATATAAAATAGCTATTACTATATATATTAAATGGGTCAATTGTCTAATTAGCACTGTCTAATTGGACGAAGCCTGGCAAAAGGAGTCAAAGAGTTTGCACTTCATTTCGAGCTAAATATAAAATTGTGTAAATAGGTGATTTTTGTAGAAAGTGTAGAATTATTAGAAATTTGCAGGTCTTTAAAATTCACAAAATTCAAGAGTTTTTAGAGACTAGCAATACTTTCATATCTTCACTTAATAGTCGGCTCAATCGACTATATAAAAATGGCTAACAAATTAATTTTTTATTAATTTAATTTTATATAAAATTTGTCGCATGATAGCGAAACAAACATGTTTACTTTTAACACTTCACAAAACTTTTATTAAACATAAATTAAAAAAAAAGAACAAAAAATTATAAATATTTTTTTCATTAGAAAATCCTGATGTTATTTTCTATTTTGCTATGCCCCAAAGGGATTTCATAGTAAGTCTGCTTTTATAAGATGCTGTGTTCCAGCTGCAACTTTATCAAAGTTTTCGAGCTTTGTAAGATCTACTTTTTACTTGCCTTTCACATTTTCAAACTTTAATACATTCCTTGCATACAATGGACATCTTTTCATTTTGCAACGAAAAATTTACCATTTTATTTGATTTGAGTTTTGTGCAACAGCAACAACAACTTTCATGTATACAAAATGAATTTGCTATCTTCTGAGAAGGTTAAAAATAACATAATTATCTCATGTAAAATTGTCATACATTCTACACAAAATTCGGACATTCATTTCATTTCATAAAGAGAAGTCTTTCATTTGGTCTTGTTTACTATTTTCATGAGAGAGAGATATGTATATATAAAATTTATTGTCTATCTGGTGAAGAGGTTAACCGTAACTCAATTATCAAGTACAAAATTGTCACGATGTGAGACGACTGCAATAGAGCGAGGCTATAATTGATATTGATAGAGATTGATATATTTTGCTCTGCTGGCGCTATAAGCGAACATATATTCCAAATTAGAATTGTCTACAAATGAAAGCGTTTACTGCGCCCGCCCAATGGGCGCATATGAAAAGTATTTTGAATTTACGAAATTTGCTTAAAGTTTCCAAGTTCAAAAGGAAATAAATCACTTTGTGTTTATATTTAGGGACCTGCAGAAGGACACGTGACAAGCTAGCATAATAGTTAATATTCGCATTTCACTTTGTGAACAAAGTGGAGAAAGCCGTTTATAAAAGGAAGCAGAACTCGAGAGCAAAAATTTTAAAAATAAGCATCTACTTGAATTGAGAGGTCTCGGGCTGTCTCCGGTAGTCAAAGGCCGTCTGCCTTCTAGCATCTAGAGCAGTTGAAAAAGGACGGGACAGTCTTAAATAGTTGTTCAATTAAATGAAAATTGAGAAACAAGTTGGGAAACGAGACTTTGTTTAAAGTGAAACAACAGAATTTAAGCTAAAATTTGTGTACATATTTTTAAAGTAGTTAGAAAACAATATAAGCAGAGTAGAAAAAGGAATTATAATGTATCATATAACACAAATTTGATATGAATAATTGCTAATATTTTATTAACTATATTTTTTTAATTAGATGAAAAAATGTAGAGTTTCAATTAACATTTCAGCGCATATTCATAAACAATTAACATAATTACCTAGCATATATTTGCTTAATCTCATTTGAAATTAGGTCAGAATTTCCGTTGTTCGTGTTCGATGGCTGCGCCACTTAGACAACGCATCTATCAAGGACTCCCCGGCGCCCAAGTACATACATTCACATATACGCAGTTTTTTATTTGATTTATACGAATGTGTATTAAAAAAAACAAAAAAAAAAGAAAGAAAAGAGAATAAGCCGCATTAGAACTGTGAGCCTTGGCTGGGTTAAAGCTGAAATGAAAATAATAATATATCTTAATAAGTGCTCTTATAGAATGCACACTCGATGTCCATATTTACATACACACACACACACACACACACACACATGCATACTCTTCAGTATATGTATTAATACCATTCAATCTATCAAGTACAAATTGGTTTTTGAGTTCACGTAGCTTTTTGGATAGCTGAACCGAGGCATCGTTGTCGTACCCATTGCCGCCGTTTGTCTGATGCTCTCTCGCTGATACTCGACGCGCATTGTAGTAGTTAGGTGGTTGCCCACTCCCACGATTACAATCAATATAAATCACATTTACCCAAAGCGAAAATGTTTTCTACTTCAGTGGAGAAGCCAAAAAATTCATACGCAACAGGGGAATTTGATGCCTTTTATTATTTTGTTTTTTTTCTCTCCCTCTCCAGCTATCTCTTTCTCTTC